AATGTTGGATCCTGCAGCTTATCTGGCAACCTCGAGTCAGGGGGGAGGCGGAGGGGATACACTGCTCTACAGTAATTTGAAACTGATTGCAGTACCAGTTTTGGCCACAATCCTAAATACAGCTCCTTTAAATTGAAACACCTCTCCTCAAACATTGTGTTCATCCACGCTGTGCCGAGTCGAGGGAGTTGAAGTACAACTCACGTAAAGTTGATAATTCCGTGAATGACTGCAATTGCAGATGTCAAACAGAGATGGCGACAAAGAGGAAAAACTGCGGACTGCAGCTTTAAAGTCGGCGTGAAACTGAAGTTGAGATTGTCATTTTTTCCTTGTCGTGACGTATATCCGAGTGAAACGGCTTCTGAAATTAGAAAAAAAATGTAGGGCAGGGCTTGATTTCGTCCTTCGGGAATTGATTGGATCGTTCGGGAATTGATTTGAATCTCTGATTTGAATGCGATTCTCTGAGAGGCGGTGCACCGATAGCCGCACCCTCATCGGATCTGGCCGCACCCTTTCGCTATTCCACGTGACCGAAATAGAAGAGAGGTCGTTTCAATGGGGGCGGGGGAAGGGTAATATCTTTGATTAAAGATTATACTGGTACATGAATTAAAAAAAACCCCAGATAAATCATTTATAATAAACACTACAGTATTACTTATAAAAAGAAGATTTGTCAAATTTGATTTCATTACCGACTTTAAAGTCAACAAATGATCTGTATGGATTAGGAAAAAAGCATGGATTTGTTGTTGAACCGTGTTTTCTCCCGCTGTGTCCTCATAGGTCAGTGTCCCGAGAGCTCCCGCTGTGTGGTGTCCCCCACATCCGCCTTCGCCATCGCCACCGCCGCCGCGGGACACAGCAGCCCACAGGGTCAGACTCACTAAAACCGATCTCCCGTCGCGTCACACTCATCACTCATCATGCTCACACACTTCTCCTGCTGTCTCTCATTCAGGATTCACCAACCCAGAGAAATCACACGATAAAGAGTTCCTCATCAGAAGGGCCGCCACCAACAGAGTGCTCAACGTTCTGCGCCACTGGGTTTCCAAACACTCGCAGGTTTGTGTGACTTGCATCAATGCCAGCCTGCCAGTTTCAGTTCTTTGAGCCATTTATTATTTATAATAGAGATATGACTTGGAAGGAGGTGAAGAGAAGTCTACAATAGACACTTTCCCCTGTTGTTTGGTCACAGTACATTAAGACAATTGTTTTGTATAACAAATTACCGTAGCAAAATTGTGGAAGCACTTTATTTTACATACTTATTACAGTAATTAGAATAACTGGGTTATAGCTACACTGTAATTTTTTGTTGTTGGTTTAACTTAAAAGGAAGTAACCTGGTTGCCTTAAAATTTTAAGTTCATTGAAATGGAAAAATTGAGTTAACACAATGAAGGAGATTGATTTAATCATCAGAAACTCAAAATATTATGTTATCTGAACCACATAAATTATTTAAGTTGATTTGACAAAAGAAAAAATGTTGCCCTGAACCTAACCTTAACCCATGCAGTTACCCTTTATTGTCTTAGACAAGAACACTATAAGTTCACGTACTGTAAAATAAAGTGTAATTCAAATTGTTTAGTGTACACTGTAAAAAATATTTTCAAGATTTGTTATCACAACATATTTTCTTTTGTCAAATCAACTTTATAATAATTTATTTAGTTGAGATAACTTATTATTTTGAGTTTCTGATGGTTAAATGAATCTCCTTCATTGTATTAACTCACTTTTTCCAGTTCAATCAACTTAAAATTTTAAGACAACCCAGTTTACTTACTTTTTTAAGTTAAAGCAACAATATTTTTTTACAATGTAATAATCACAACATTTTTTCTTTTGTCAAATCAACTTAAATAATTTATTTAGTTCAGATAACATATCATTTTGAGTTTCTGATGGTAAAGCAACCATGTTACTTACTTTTTTTTAAGTAAAACCATCAATATTTTTTTTACAGTGTAATAAAGCAATGGGTTTAACTTTAGATGTAAAATATTGAAATGAACCAACCTCTGAGATCTTATGCTAATATTTTTAATAATTCAATGACACAATCGCATGTTGGGTATAATGCATTACTAAGCAATTAATTACCGTAATTTATTTACTTTACCCTTGAAATTAAGTAAAGTGATGGATTACTCCCTTTCCAATTTTCCTGTAATTTAATTACAGTAACTTCTGATGTCATTGCATTAAACACAGGATGGACTATAAAACAATTCTATATAAATCAAGTACACTAGATGTAACATCAAATTTACGTCTAATGTTAAAATATATATTAATGTGACCTTCACCCTTAAATACGTTAGTCAGTTCAATAATGTAATTTTATATTATTTATTTAAAAGAATTAAACGAGCACTTTCAAGTCTCTGAACTGGTATTTTTTAGAGAAAGTATTTTTTATTAATTTATATTTAAAATGCTCTATTTGATTTGATAAATATATTGCAAGTGTCATGGGGCCCTGTTTATTTATTTTAATTTTTCATTCAATATAATGAATTTCTCATGAACTCACAAACCCTTTTTTATAGTTAACAAAATGGCATTAAACTCAAAACAGTAGATTGATCTTGTACCTGTGGATGATTACTGTATATGATTTATTATTTGCGTTTTGTAATCAGCGTTGATCACGTGACTCTGTGAGGACAGGTGTGTTCACACAGCCGCTGTGACGTGTCCTCACACACCTCACTGTCAGACCTGCTCTGCTCTTCAGTCCTTCATGGTGCGCAGTAGTGACTGCGCTGAAATGTCAGCGGACCCCTGAGGGTTAACATGCCAGGAACATGCGTCCAGTCAAATCTGTTCCATCCTTTAGCATGCATTTGAAGGAAGCTGGTGGTTATTTCCTGGAGTATGCCCCATTCTTCTGGCTCACAGCTGTTTGAGTAATTTATTGAGGCAGTTATTTAGAAGATGCTTATCTAGTGATATATGAATAGTGAGTATTTGAATGACTGATGCTGATATATAATGTGGCAGATGTAACGCGATAAACTTTACCGTACTTTACAGACTAAGAGACGATTCTTTTTCAAGCTGCTTTGAAATGTTAGATATTGTGAAAAGCACTATTCAAACAATACGGTCTTGGATACACTGTAAAAAGTAAACCGTAAATTTTACGGTCAAGAAACGGCAGCTGTGGTTGCCAGAACTTTACCGTTAAAAATATGGCAGGAACGTTAATGGTTTTACAGACTTAACTTAAAATTTACAGAAATAAACCATATTTTATTTTCTGATAAAATGTTACCAACTTATTGATATCTGTTTTAGACCATTGTAATACACTGACAACAACCATCAATCATCACAGCAGTGATGAGAGTTACTTGAGCAATCACAGCTCATCATAAATGATTACTTATTTAAGTAATACTTATATAAAGAAGCTGCACAGTGTCATTCACACAAACATTAAACACCATCATGGTAACACACATGAAATGAAAAAATGCAATAAACATTAATTTAACAACATTAAATGTAACATAAAACCCTAATGTACATAACTGATTAGAAAAAAAACAATAAAACTATGAGGAACTATAGTTATTTCAACAAAAATACATCAAATGTGAAGTGTCACACAGGGAATTGTGGGAATGTCAATTTACGGTTTTTCACTGTAAAATATACAACGATTTGTTCTTTTTCACTTTCAAAAACTGTAAATTTAACAGTATTTTACTGTAAAATTATATCACAGTTATTTACCGTATAAAGTATGGAAACTTTCTGTTAACCAATTAACATTTTGCACTGTAGCATTTTTACAGTCTTTTACTGTTAAAATCATGAATATTTTTTACAGTTACTCAAATTCACTTGAAAATTTAAATAGTTTGGGGTCTTTTTAAAGATGTTAACACTTTTATTCAACAAAGATTATGGAAAGCTTGTTTCCGCCATGGAATTAAACAAATTTAAAAGATACTTTGTCTCATAATTCTGACTTCTAATTCTTCATAATTCTAATTCTTTTTTTCTCGCGAGTTTAGATCCCGTACATCCCTTAATACACATATAAACTCTTAATTGTGAGTTATAAAGTGCAGTTCAGAGGAAAAGTGACCTCACAATTCTGAGTTTATATCTTGCAATTCTAACTTTATAACTGCGAATTTATAATTGCGAGAGAAAAAAATCTGAATTGTGGGACAAAAGTCACGATTACCTTGAAACTCGAGGTGAAACTCGTAAAAAATCATGCAAAAGTACATTTATTTCAATAATTCAACTTAAAAGGTGAAACTAATATATTATATAGCTTCATTACATGCAAAGTGAGATATTTCAAGCCTTTATTTGTCATAATTGTGATGATTCTGGCTTTACAGCTTATGAAAACCCCAAATATTCCAATTTTTAGAGTTTCACCAGTAAAGTTGATCAAATGTGATAGTGGACATTTGTAATGTTACGAAAGATTATTTTTCAACATGGATAATAATCAGAAATGTTTCTTCAGCAACAAATCAGCATATTAGAGTGATTTCTGATGGATCCATGTGCAGACACTATTTGTGTGTTTAAATTTGTCAAACTCCACGCATTTGCATCTACGTGTTCAGGTTTTATGGCAATTAAAGTTGCCTGGAGCAAGCTGTGATTAAACAAGGCTCAGCAGTGACTCTCAAGACTCATGAGTTTCGAACCTTAGTGGCACTAAACGTTAGCCAGAACGGCCACTACATCATATGGTCATGTGTTTCTCTGTGTTTGCAGGACTTTGAGATGAACGCAGAACTGACGACGGCTGTGGTCGCTCTGCTGGAGGAGGTTCTGCGAGATCCAGATCTTCTGCCACAGGAGAGGAAGGCTGCCGCTAACATAATGAGGTGAAGCTTCCAGTGTGGACATCTGAGACAAAGAGTTTAATGGCTCAATGATAGATGGGTGGGATAATTCACCAAAAATATTTAATTAGATAAAAAAAAATTAGACACTAACTGAGGGGCTCTTTCAAGAACTGAAACTGTTCTGTCCTTGCATATATGGAAACATACACTACCCGCATAACGGAAAATAGTTAGTAATTGGACTCTCTACTCAGCCTGTTCTCAAGTAAATGCGTCTCTAAAGCACGCATTGTTTTTTATCATGCAATTTAAACGCGAAAAAGTTTTTACATGCATGTGATACGTAGTTTTCACATGCATTTGATATGCAGTTCATTGGCGTGTAATACATGCAATGCTATTTAGTGTGATAAATGCGTCTCTATAGCGTGCATTGTGTTTTATTGTGCAATTTAAACGCAAAAATGAGTTTTTACGCGCATATGATACGTAGTTTTCACGTGCATTTGATACGCAGTTAATTTGCATGTAATACACACGCAAATGAACACATTGCATGCGATTTAGTGTGATAAATGTGTCTCTATAGCATGCATTGTGTTTTATCGTGCAATTTAAACGCAAAAATGAGTTTTTACGCGCATATGATACGTAGTTTTCACGTGCATTTGATACGCAGTTCATTTGCATGTAATACACACGCAAATGAACACATTGCGTGCGATTTAGTGTGATAAATGTGTCTCTATAGCATGCATTGTGTTTTATCGTGCAATTTAAACGCAAAAATGAGTTTTTACGCGCATATGATACGTAGTTTTCGCGTGCATTTGATACGCAGTTCATTTGCGTGTAATACACACGCAAATGAACACATTGCATGCGATTTAGTGAGATAAATGTGTCTCTATAGCATGCATTGTGTTTTATCGTGCAATTTAAACGCAAAAATGAGTTTTTACGCGCATATGATACGTAGTTTTCGCGTGCATTTGATACGCAGTTCATTTGCGTGTAATACACACGCAAATGAACACATTGCATGCGATTTAGTGTGATAAATGTGTCTCTATAGCATGCATTGTGTTTTATCGTGCAATTTAAACGCAAAAATGAGTTTTTACGCGCATATGATACGTAGTTTTCGCGTGCATTTGATACGCAGTTCATTTGCGTGTAATACACACGCAAATGAACACATTGAGTGCGATTTAGTGTGATAAATGCGTCTCTATAGCTTGCATTGTGTTTTATCGTGCAATTTAAATGCGAAAATGAGTTTTTACGTGCATATGATAGTTTTCGCGTGCATTTGATGCGCAGTTAATTTGCGTGTAATACACACGCACCCCACACCACTAATTCTACCTAAACGTATAATACACACACACCCCACATCACTACTAAACCAAGCCATGCAGATCTTATGTACGTAAAAACTCATTTTCACGTATAAATTGCACGATAAACACACTGCGTGCTATTTAGTGTGATCGGGTTGCTCTATAGTGTGCTACCGCTTCTGTAACAACACTTATAATTGATTAATGTGGTTAAACATTTACCTTGGTTGGCATGTTTTTTTAGTTTTTTTGCATAATTTTGGTACTTTATTGGGTATATTTGTACATTCTTATTTGGGGTCAACAATTTTTCCCTTTATATTACGTAGGTCGTGGATCCCTGGCTATCTTCTGATCCTACCCCTTTTTTTTTCCTACATATGTTAAATTGTAAAACTGAAATGTTTGGAATTTTGTAATGTGGAGAAACCTATAAATAAAGTGAGGGGAATATATATATATATGTATATATATATATAAATAATCAAATTATTTCTTAAAAGTTAGCCATTTAAAATGAGTAAAGTTTACACCAAAAAATTAAACAAAAAAAATATCTGAATAACAGACACACGTTAAAGATTAAGTAAGAACTCTTTCTTTTATATTGCCAACATTGAAGACACCTGATGTTAACAAGCAGAATCACTGAAGGAGAAACCTAAAACAAACACCGATCACCATAATGGTGACTTAAATGTAAGGGTTTTTTTTGTAAGTTTTACTCATTTTAAATGGTTTACTTTTAAGGAATTAATTTGAATAATTATTACTCAATTCTAATTTGTTAAATTGAATTAATAATTTTGCTTGTAATCTGTTACCCCATTTTTTTTGATTAGATAAAGCGTATTCATTTTTACAGTGTATGTTAGTTGAAGCGTGTACTAGTGTTTAAAAGTCGGCAAGATTTTTGAAAGATTCTGCTCCCCAAGACTGCGAAAATACAGTAAAAATGATGAAATATTATTACAATAAAAAACTGTTTTCTATGTGAATATATTTTAAAATGTTATTTATTTATTTGTGTGATCAAAGTTTGATTTTCAGTGTCGTCATGATCCTTCAGATTTGCTGCTCAAGAAAATCAATTTCTGATTAGAAAACTGCAGTTTGTTTTTTTTGCAGAAATGTTGTTGGGGTTTTTTTTTCAGGATTTATACAAAGTTAAAGTACAGCATTTATTTGAAATTGAAATCTTTTGAAGAGTTCAGATGCAAAAGCCTCTAAGTGCCATTTGAAATTTTCTTCTAGAATGATATTTTTTATCCAGCTTGTATATTTAAGTTCAGTAATTTCACTTAAATGGCAATGAAGATTACCATATTAATTGTCATTTAAGTGAAATTACTGAGAGCTTAATAAAAATGATCATTCTAGAAGAAAATTTCAAATGGCACTTAGAGGCTTTTGCATCTGAACTCTTCGTTTTTACCATCATTTTTTATCAATTTAATGGATCATTGCTAAAAAGAAAATGATCGTAATGACCCCAAAATTTTGAATGGGAGTGTATGTGGAAGACAAGACTTGGGAGGAATTTCTATGGGATTTTGTGAACTTGATTTAAATGATAAAAGATGTGTGTGTTGGATAAATAATATGAATTGATTTGAGGTGAACTGCTTTAATCTTCCCCCAGTGCACTTTCTCAAGAAGAGCAAGATGATTCACAGTTGAAGATTGAGGATATCGTCCAAATGGTTAGTGTCACTGCACTGAAGTGTGTATCGATGTATTTCTTTCATCCTCGTGTAATTTTACGTGCGTTTTCTAGTCCGAGTGTCCGAGGGTCGAATGCTTCGAGTCACTGTCGGCGATGGAACTAGCGGAACAAATCACTCTACTGGACCATCTCGTGTTCCGGAATATTCCATACGAGTGAGTATTCCATCAGAGCAGAAATTTATACGGGTTTGATTCATAAAGTGTTGGTGATTTACTCTATAGTAGTGTTTGATAAATATGGTGGATGTGTTTCTAGGGAGTTTCTTGGTCAAGGCTGGATGAAAACGGACAAAAGTGAAAGGACTCCGTACATTATGAAGACCAGTCAGCACTTCAATGATGTGAGCAAAAATCATAATCTATAAACATCAAAAGATCAGACACACATCCTCAGATTTTTAAAACAATAATGAAGACAGAAGCCTTTAGGATAAAATATGGTAAAGATAATGAGAAACAGAGTTTTGACTGCTGGAGTACACTCTCAGAAAAAGGGTACAAAAGCTGTCACTTGGGCTGTACCTTTTCAAAAGGTACACTTTTGTACCTAAAGGCTGCATATTGGTTCCTTATTGGTACATTAGCATTTAATCAACATATCAACACTTAAAATGTACTTATTAGCACCTGAAATTTACTTATTAGCACCTAAAATGTACTTATTAGCACCTAAAATTACATATTAGCGCCTAAAATGTACATTTTAACACCTAAAATGTACTTATTACCTAAAATGTACATATTAACACCTAAAATGTACTTATTAGCACCTAAAATGTACTTATTAGCACCAGAAATGTGCATATTAGCACCTAAAATATACTTATTAAAAGTATATTTATTAAATATATACTTATTAAAAGTATATAATAAGTATATATAATATATACTTATTATATAATATATACTTATTATATAATATATACTTATATAATATATTATATATTATATATACTTATTATATAATATATACTTATATAATATATTATATATACTTATTATATAATATATACTTATATAATATATACTTATTAAAATATACTTATTAAAAGTAAATATACTTATAAGTAAAAGTATACCTAATATGTACATATTTGCACCTAAAATGTACATATTAACATCTAAAATGGACATATTAGGGCCTAAAATGGACATATTAACACTTTAAATGTACATATTAACATCTAAAATGGACATATTATCACTTTAAATGTACATATTAACACCTAAAATGTACATATTAGCTCCTGAAATGTACATATTAGCTCCTGAAATGTACATATTAGCACCTAAAATGTACTTATTAACACCTAAAATGTATTAGCTCCTGAAATGTACAAAGCTCCTGAAATTGACATATTAGCACCTGAAATGTACATATTAGCTCCTGAAATGTACATATTAGCTCCTGAAATGTACATATTAGCTCCTGAAATGTACATATTAGCACCTAAATGTATAACACCTAAAACGTACTTATTAACACCTAAAATGTATTAGCTCCTGAAATGTACAAAGCTCCTGAAATTGACATATTAGCACCTAAAATGTACATATTAGCACCTAAAATTTACCCAGTGCTAATAAAGTAAATTTTAGGTGCTAATATGTACAGTCTGGGGCTGTACCTTTTAGCCCAAGTGACAGCTTTTGTACCTTTTTTTCTGAGAGTGTAGATCAGGGGTTCCCAAACTTTTTTTATCAGCCAACCCCCCTTAGACGTAAAATATTAAAAATATTAAATATATGAAGTACCAGATAAAAAACTGCCAGATTTGGTCTCATTTTAAAGACTTTCGACAGGTTATATTTGAAGTAAAAAAGTAATAGAGGTTTTAGTTTAGGAAAATTATTTATTAACATATATTTTATAAAACACGGTGAACTCAAAAACTACAAGACAATCAAAACAATACATCTAAAAAAGTTGTGTTCCAAATTTGAGGTTAATATCTCAAAAAATAGCTTTCAGTAGATTTATGATGCAGTATCAAACTTTTTCCATTATATGCCAGTAAAGCTCCAATGGTATTGGATGCCTTTAATGTCCTAAGTGAAACTATTTTGTGTGCCTATTGTAAAATCGATATAGTAAAGGAAATGAAGGTAAAATAGCAAAATCCCAATTAAAATACACACTTGTATGTATGCTAAAATGAATGTTGGCATTAATACAGGCAAAAAAAAAAAAAAAAAAAAGATGCACAAGGATGATGCCAGTTTCCTTCATGTGATGTGTATGAGAGCAAGTCAATATAACTGCTAATGTCTTTCTATAGATGAGTAATCTGGTGGCGTCTCAGATCATGGCTCAGTGTGACGTGAGCTCCAGAGCCAACTCTATTGAGAAGTGGCTGGCTGTGGCTGATATATGCCGCTGTCTCAACAACTACAACGGCGTCTTGGAGATCACGTCCGCTCTGAACCGCAGCGCCATCTACAGGTTAAAGAAAACATGGGTCAAGGTCTGCAAACAGGTGGGTTGAGAAAGCCTCAGAGATTTCATCGGATTAGAAGCATTAAACACATGTCCATTTTAACTGTGCATGGATTTTGTTCATCGTCAGACCAAAGCTCTTATGGACAGGCTTCAGAAGATAGTTTCAACTGAAGGGAGGTTTAAGAACTTGAGGGAAACTCTGAAAAAGTAAGTTTGTGTATGTCAGTTTTCCACTGAATATAAACACACATACACTGTAACGTGTGTGGTGTGGGATTTAATCCACAGCTGTAACCCTCCGTGTGTGCCCTATCTGGGCATGTACCTGACGGATTTGGCGTTTATCGAGGAAGGAACGCCCAACTTCACTGAGGAGGGGCTAGTCAACTTCTCTAAAATGAGAATGGTAAAATGCTCAAATTGCTCAAGATGCCGTCAGGATTTTGAAAGACAACAGTTCACGTTTTGTAGTCATCAGTAAAGAGCTGTGCTTTTGTTGTACTTCGCAGATCTCACACATAATACGAGAGATCCGACAGTTTCAGCAGGCGCCCTACAGGATAGACCTGCAACCCAAGGTACAGACCTTAGCGAGACCTTATGTAGACACAGAATCAAGAGCACACTTTTAACCCTGTACTGCCTGACTTATGAAAGAAGTCAGAGTGTTTTCTGAAATTGAGCTGTTTATTGAACCCCTAAGGCTGAGTGAAACCACTGAGTCCGAAATGTTTGCATGTTAAAAATATAAATATGACCTCAAGTTATGTCAATCACGCTTGCACACTGCCTCCGAAACTTTAGTCCGTCTTAAAAAAATTGGATCGGGTTCGATTTTATGTGTTTTTCACATCCGTAGCGAGCATCTTGAATGGTTTTTGACAATTCAGAGCCACCGAATCACGAATACGAAAAAGTGCATAAGAATATTTTGGACTCGTTGTGCAACGGCCTTTAGACAAAAACAGTTTGCATGCATGTTTTTTGTTTAAATTCATATTTTATGCATCAGACTTTTATAGCTTATATATATATATATATATATATATATATATATATATATATATATATATATATATATATATATATATGATATAGTAAAAATATGGAGCGAAAACAGCTACATTTTATTCAGAGGCCCAAACTTAGTAAAAATATGCAATTTGGTGCAGATGCTGATATTTTATGGCCAAAAAGTGAGATGAAATTTTTTATAACAGTATAGACTAGTTACATAAAATACAATTACTATCAGTTAATATTAATATCAGTTGTCTCTCTATATCTGCCAATAATACATCTTAGTAATAATATGACATTTAAATGCTTAGTTTTATGATCAAAGCTCTGTTTTTATAATGCAACGCAATGCAATGATGATTGAGAGATGAACAAATACGTAAACCTTCCTCAAAAGCCTGAAGATCATATTTGATACTCACATTTTAACATGATTTTTTTTTTTTAAATGTAAAAGATGCATGGAGAATCCACAAGTAAACCTAAGTTACTTAAGTCTAGTAAGTGTTCATCTTGAAATATTGCTAACAATTTTGTTATTTGTATGTTTACTTAATACAAATCAGTAAAGATTTCAAAAACTCACAAGCTCTTATTTTTATACAATTATACTAAAAGGATTTTACTTGCTAAAAAGTCTAAACTATCAGTCAGACGACAGAAGGCATGCAGTAGATTGTAACGTTTCGATCATGTTTATAATTTGCAGGCCTTTGCGAGTCAAAAATGACGCAGTAGGTTATATAAAGTTAAAAACTTGGTTTTCAATTTACGCAAGAAATTGCAGACTAGACTTAAAACATGACAGGGAAGTGAGCTTCAGTCTGGTTGCTGAAGCACGTGTGTAAACCTGTTGTGATTGACTGTTCTTCTCTCAGGTAACACAGTTCCTCCTTGATAAGACTCTAGTTATGGATGAGGACACACTTTATGAACTATCTCTGAAGATTGCGCCTAGAATCCCTCCTGCCAACTAAACGTGACGATAATGTTTACACCAGATGCAGAGATCAAGTAAGAAGCTTTAGTGGGAATCTATACTTCCATCTGAACTCAAGTCTGTCCATTAAAGAAACGACAATCTATCCATTTATTTACTTCATTGCATAGAATTTCTGTAAAATAACATTCTGTAAACTCAGGTATAAATGTGCCTTTTTAAAAAATATTATGTACAGTTATTATATTCCGGAGTGCATATTTCTAGCATGATACATTTTAATATGAATTTGATAATCTCTTGAAAATATTCTTACCTGAATGCAAAACATCAGTTCCATTTTAAATGTCAGATCATTAGTGTAGTATAATGAGAATCATTTTTGTATGTGTAGAAATGTCTGTTTAGATATCAATAAATGACATCATAAGTGTGTGATTGATGTTCGCTGGACCTATTTTGACAAGTCCATTAAAATCCGCCCGTATGAATGACAAACATGAAATGTCAAAGCTCAGACAATCACTGTTACTGTTTACCAAAAGAAATATCTGTCATTTGTTAATGTTAGGTGTCATTCGTTTACACAGCAGGTCGGCTGCATTTTGCCATGTGGCTGCATTTGCTTCTTTAGCATGTTTTTGTTTGTAGATATTTTTGGCATGTGTTCGCATGAATCTGTATTTAACATAATTTTCAAAAATACTAAATTAATTTTCATTATATTTTAAAATGTTTTCTTTAACTTATGTATAAACAATAGTAGTTTCTATTGTTCTAAGCATTTGTCACATATATGTTGTACACTTACCCGCCATTTTCCGGCTTTCCGAGTTTACGGTAGGGGGCGCTATTACACATTTTCTGAAAGAGCACTGAATCTCCCGATCAAACCACAGGTGAAGAAGAAGCAGATCCATATGTAAAATAATGCGATCAGCAACATTAAACGGCATATAGATCAAATCGGCCTGCGTTACTGAATGAAATGTCGACCCAGGGCGAGATATAGGACTGTGAAGCTTTAGGGGTGTTGATGAACTCGATCAACTCCATCTTTGTTTTGATCGTTGTTTGAGGCTATGTTTACACGGAAACGATTCTGAAGAGAAAATGCAAAAGTGGCATTGCGTCATCACTTTTTATTCTGCGTTTTTGGTGGGACATCCGTGTGCATACGGTGACGCAAAAGAGTGTGAAATTCAATGTAGTATGCACTCCATGTGGCTAGGTGGCAACGTGAAGCACTGCCACACATCAACACCAACGCCTGCGTACAACCTTCACTGTCAAGCCGACTTTTGCGTTTTTAAAGGGTTAGTTCACCCAAAAATGAAAATTAAGTCATTAATTACTCACCCCCATGCTGTACCAACCCCGTAAGACCTTCGTTCATCTTCGGAACACAAATAAAGATATTTTTGATTGAATCTGAGGGCTGGACCACTCTTCCATAGACAGCCTGAGGGACTGGCTCTTGACGGCCCAGAAAGTCATTAAAGAAAAGGTTTAAATATTCCATGTGCCTACAGTGGCTTAACTATAACTTTATCAAGCGACGAGACTACTTTTTGTGCGAAAAAAAACACGTAAATAACGATTTTATTCGACTTTCCATTACTTCCTTATGGGCGCATGCGCGAGAACTGAGACGAGACCGTTCTTCTTCGACTACTTTTTGTTACCGGCTGCTCACCGCTTAGGAGTTTTACCGCCCCCTACCGTATAAGATGACGTACTGCTTGTAAACAGAACGTTTTGCGCCTCCGGCTATATCAGTACGTCATCTTATACGGTAGGGGGCGGTAAAACTCCTAAGCGGTGAGCAGCCGGTAACAAAAAGTAGTCGAAGAAGAACGGTCTCGTCTCAGTTCTCGCGCATGCGCCCATAAGGAAGTAATGGAAAGTCGAATAAAGTCGTTATTTACGGTTTTTTTTCGCACAAAAAGTAGTCTCGTCGCTTGATAAAGTTATAGTTGAGCCACTGTAGGCACATGGAATATTTAAACCTTTTCTTTTAATGACTTTCTGGGCCGTCAAGAGGCAGTCCCTCAGGCTGTCTATGGAAGAGTGGTCCAGCCCTCAGATTCAATCAAAAATATCTTTATTTGTGTTCCGAAGATGAACGAAGGTCTTACGGGGTTGGTACAGCATGGGGGTGAGTAATTAATGACTTAATTTTCATTTTTGGGTGAACTAACCCTTTAACGTTTACACGGGAACGCGGCGGTGGAGCGTTTTTAAGATTTCCACTCTGGAGGGTGGTTGCACTTTTTTGCGTTTTTAAGCCCCAAAAACGCCGTCGCCGTGTAACGAAAGGCACATCCGATAAAATATTTTTTACGTTTTCACCCGCGAGTGTTCTTGTGTAAATAGGGCCTCAATCCTATCTGGATTCTTTAACAAAAATGTGATTTTCTCAGCTTTTTGCTCCAAATATTGCTTTTTTAAGGAAACTTTCCCATCTTCAAGTGTTCATAAAATGAAGAAAGCATGAAGCTAGAATAAAACAGGCACAGAGCAGAGGCTCGCTTCTTTATTTTGATATATTGCATATTCAAATACTCATTCAATATATTCTGGGAGCCATGAAAATTTTGTGAAGATGATCAAAAATGCTGGTGGTGGCTGGGAACTTTTGTCAAAAACGCTGGCGAGGAAAGAGTTAAACAAAGCTGCCACCCAGCGCTAAGATTTTTGATCGTTTTCACAAAATGTTCATGGCTGCCAGAATATTTTGTTGTATGAATATCTGAACTCAGGATTTATCAAATGAAATGAACAGAGCCTCTCTTTTAAACAACAACAAAATCATTGTATTCTACCTTCATGCATTCTTTTTATCAACACTTGAATGTGGGTAAGTTTAATAAAAAAGCAACATTTTGAACAAAAATCCCATTTTCAATCCAAAATTGTAGTAGTAGTAGGTATTTAGTATGTAGTAGATCAAGTCCATAAACACCCACAAAGCTTCACAGTTTGCTCTTCATGTCATGTGATAACGAAATTCAGTTTTAATTTATTTGCTGTTAAATGTTTGATGACGTTATTCTGTTCTATTCTATTCTATTCTATTCTATTCTATTCTATTCTATTCTATTCTATTCTATTCTATTCTATTCTAAAGGCTAGATGGAGGTCGACGTCTGCCCCTGGCGGCCATCTTGTCACAGTCAGCTCGCTCACTCATAACACTGTGTTTTAATGGTGCATTTACTTTTTAAATAATCATAACTTGCTCAATTTTCTACGTATTTTCAAACGGTTTGGTTTGTTATAAACGTCAGAGATGTAGTTATGACACTGCACACTTATGAATAATAAGTGTACCAATAAATCATCCAGAATTATAGCCACATTAATAACGTTTGTTAAAACCAAACCGTTTGTAAATCCGTCAAGATTTTAACGAGTTAAGAGTATTTGTCTTGGTGCTGATCACTCATCTTACATCAGGAACCACAGAGCCTGCCAGAAAGCTTGCCTGTGACAAGATGGCCGCCAGTGATTGACAGAGACCCTGTCATAAGACATGTAGTCTTTATTATGGATATCTATGTGTGAAACATCTCGTTTCTGCTTCTTCTTTGCTTGTTTTTGGATGCTTAACTCTGGCCCTCTTTCAGGTCCACTTTCCTGCAGAGTTTTGCTCAAACCTAATCAAACACCCCCAAACAAGATAATTTAAAAATAATTTAAGCAGAATATGTAGTGCCCTGTCTATTTAATTGGTTATATAATGCTTTTATTTCAACTTCTACCTGGAAAACAGTCATTATTGAGAACTTTTGAGCTGCCTGCTGTGATGTTGTTGTTATTTTAACAATATTTTTGACTCATGCACACTTCCTGAAGGAGTGTCTTTACCTCTTTTCATATATGAATTCACATACATATCTTTTTTTTTTTCAAGTACCAACATAGATGTACACCTATCCATGATGTAACTGTAAATTATGAAATAAAACTTTTTGGTCTTATCTTCTGTATGCTTGTTTTCTATAATGCATTCAAAAGATCATATCGATATATCAGTATGTCTATCTATAATTATGTCTGTCTTGTGCATCTACAAGTATTGTAGTAGTCCACTTTTTCCAGGTAAGACTGAGACTTAAAGAGCAGATAGTGGTTCTATTTAAGAGGTTGCGTACAGCGCAATATGCTGGACCATGGCGGCAGGTCTCAAGGACAAGCCGGACGGCAGACATGGGTTATGACCTGGCAATTACGTGGAAGAGGATTGGCCATCAGGTCGGCTTCTAATCCCATATCCTGGGAGGAGCGCCAGCCTCACCCACAGACTGTGTGCTTTCTGACACAGCCTACTGTAACAGAGGAGACTCTTCAGGTAAAAATCTCTTCTACTACTTAATCATAAAAAAAAAAATACTCGAATCTAAATCCAGAGAGAACTAAAGCTAAGTTTGAGAATAAGGAATTCTGTTGACTGGTAAGCAATAGTTTTCATTGATTTCGTTTTTTTGCTTGCAGTGTAAATGTAATCGATGTTTTGATTCATTTTAAAACTTGACTGTAAAATACATTGCAGATACCCATACGGCACAGGCTACTTTTTCAACAAGAGGCATTTAGTGGAATCATCTTTAAGGACATTATACAGTTGTTCTAGCATCTTACATTTATGCTTTTATCCAAAGCAACTTACAGATGCCATTCACCAAAGAGCCAACAATATATATGCCAGGTTTATCAGACAACTAACCCAGCTATAGCTATCAAACCCTAACAGCTAGATTATTATTTAATGGTGTTCTCCAAACATTATAGACTAATCCTTGAGTTAAAAGCCTAATAATCCCCCACAACTCCGCCAAGAGATTGACCTTAAAGCATGGTGGAGAGCTGATGGACCACCTGTTCAGAAGTATCACAAGAGTGTTTATGGTTTTGCTGTTTTATGTAGATCTGAGTTCAGGCTGCCAGATTCTAGTCGGGTCTTGTGTACGCTTGTGTGACCGGTTCAGAATGTCACGGCTGAGCACGAGGCCCCCGGATAGACCGATGCCAGTTGGGGCTTCGTTCCAAACACTTCATGTAGTGTGCTAGTCTATTAATAACACTTTCACTTTCCCAGTAGTGTCAACAGGGTTGGATTTGTCAATGATGTCACCAACTGTTAAAGTTTAAGAATCTCCCTTAGATAGATGAACCTATATAGATTGACAAATGCTCTTGATATCTGAGGGATTGTCTTTAGTGTGGCTTGGTTCTCTTTTACAAATGACAATCATATTTGGCTTGACTACTAAACTATGCCCTGTATTTAAGAATATTCTTGGGACCATTATACAAGTTTTAGTAATGGACGAGTGAGTCTTTAAGATTCAACATGTAACCAATGGAACCAGCTCTCCTAAATAGATGTAAGGAAGTATTAATAAACCAGTCTCTTGATAAGGTAACCAGTCACAAGCAAGTAAGTTTTTTAAATCAAGGTGACACTTTTCACCTTAGGCCACCATTTGTATGCTGATAGTCTGCAATTAACTATTCATTGCTATGATCATTCTGAAAACCTTGCCACTCTTGTTCTTCCAGTGCTGACCCGTCTGAACTTTTTTGATAAGAAACGGTGTGAAGATGGCAAGCTCATTCGCCAAGATGATGTCGAGCCGTGGCTTGCTCATGGCGAGCATTGGAGCCGGTGCGATGGCAACTGGTTATCTATTGAGTGACAGTGCTGCCATCTCGGCAGAACAGAGGAGGAAACTATACCCTCCGAGGTAAGCACTAGGAGTGGTGATTTCAATTATATCCCATTGATAATACTGCATGGAATATAGCAAGTCATTGTATAATAAATATCTAGACTCTTGCTTGCTTTATTTGTCACTTAAGAGATGCACCGAACTCAGAGTTAACTTGCACCTGTTCTGTGATGGAAAAAAATGTGATCAGGCGTAGAGGTCATGATGTACTGAGTAATGAAGTGCCAAACGTTAACTAAGTGAAAGGTAAATGGGTGGGAACATGACACTTAAGTAGCTTATGTCCTTTTCCACACATCACACTCCTCCACACTAATAGATGCCAAAGATCAAATCAGATCAGCAGACCAAGAGGGAAGTTTCTTGAAGGAACCTACTGTGAAGCGAGTTGGTCTTTTAGTTTGATCCAAAACCCTGATTCATACCTTAACCTTCAACTGAGAAACTACATTAACAGTTTCTGATTAGTCAGTCTCTTGTCACAGTCCTAAAGGCCTTATGTAGTCCCGCTCCTTTTCAGTGCTGTGCTCGTTGTGTTCTGTTTTCCGGTTTGAACCGAACCGTTGAATGAACTGTTTGTTTCAAAAAATGTCCCGGTCCACTGACATTTTTATATCATCCTCTTCAAACATAGCAATGCCGTATAAGGACAGTAGATTTGGGATTTAGGCCAAGTTCACAAGAAGTCCATCTGCTTCAAATGCCACTCCCAGACTTTGTGATCCTCTAAGTCCACACTGACATAATCCTGCATATACTTTCGGGTAGTAATCCCACTATAAAGTCTGCACTAGTGTAGTCTCGTGATACGACTGAATTATCACCAAGTGTGCCGTTTGAGCCAGGGCCAAAGACTAGGGGTGTGCCTGAAGCCTAAATCCGTATTCAGAAAGGCATGGAAAATGAATAATGCATTCTACGGAGCCCCTAAAGGGACATGGTTAGGCTTGCTGAGGTAGCCTGTTACAGTACAGCAGATTTCACTTTCCACATGAAGAGAGTAAGGAGAGATGAGTGACAGGACGATGGGAAATGATTTGCAGATTGTGAGCGCCACTGACAAATATCTAATCTTGTAAAATGTGTGGTAATTACGGCCACTGCCTATTCGCAGAGTACTTGTGATCGAGTTTCTCGAAGGGAAAGTAAAAAGCTAGTATGCAATCAGAAGGGATTCAATACCCCACATATTAATAGCGACTCCCTGATGCCCGCAAATTCTATACAATATAATTAACAAGATTGCTTCACAACAAACTCTAATTTCTACAAGAATACCATGGCTGCCTAGCCTGACGCCATCATACTCAGATGCTAGTCAGAATGTAAGTCTGAATCTGTGATTATGGGGCGTTTCATACGGACCAGGAAAGAAAATGCCTCTGCACTCAATCGGATGGGCAAATGCCTTGATTGTGGTTCTCTGTTCCTCTTTTAAAATGAATGCACCGTCTAAATCTTCTATAACAGACGCGATGGCTGAATCTACACATCTCGGTTCTCCAGCGGCGGCCAATCTTTGTCGTAAACGAATTCAACGCAAGCGCTATTTGGTGACGTGGAGGATTACGTTACGTTTGATCACCTGTCCATCATCGTATAAAGCCTGCCCTGACAATTTGATTAGTCTGAACAGCTGTGTTTCGGGCACACTTGCTTCACAACGGATCAAGTCCAGAACGAACTTCCCATCCTCAAATGTTGTGGGTGGGGCTAAGCTTGGCTGGCATCCAGGCTAATGGCCATAAACTTGACTAAAGACAGCACATGACTCAAGATGTGACAATGTGTTTCTCGACAGTGCTGACTTCCCTGACCTTCGCAAACACAACAACTGTATGTCCAGTGCACTGACCCCTGCCATCTATGCCAGGCTGAGGGACAAGGTTACCCCAAATAACTGGACTCTTGACCAGTGCATTCAGACTGGTGTGGACAACCCCGGTCATCCCTTCATCAAGACAGTTGGTATGGTTGCTGGTGACGAGGAGAGCTATGAGGTACAGCAATACATTCAAAAGCTTCTCTTCTCAAGAAAGTTTAGTTCAACCCTTGCTGAAAAGACCAGCTGGTCAACAGCATGTATTGTATTTGGCTTCTTAAATTTTGCTGGTGAATGTTATGACTATGTTGGTCTGCTACATTGACCAGAACCAAACCACGACTAAACAACATAAACAAGCATGACCAAGTCAAATTCATTATTGTATAAACTGGTCTTTTCTAAAAGATCTGATTTTTCCTCTCCCCTTTTAATGTCTTGCAAACTAATTAGGAGAGACAACACCCTTGACTTCTCTGTTGCAGGTGTTTGCTGAAATCTTTGACCCTGTAATCAAGGATAGACACAATGGCTATGACCCAAAGACTATGAAGCATCCCACTGACCTGGATGCCTCCAAGGTGCAAATCCGTTTTATTTCATCATGTAAAATTAGTTTCTCAGAGTTCAATTTGATTCTACTATCTTCCTGGTTGTTTATCTTGCAGATCCACTCAGGCGTATTTGACGAACACTACGTCTTGTCCTCCCGTGTGCGCACAGGCCGCAGCATCCGTGGCCTCAGCCTTCCCCCTGCCTGCAGCCGCTCTGAGCGACGTGAAGTGGAAAGAGTGACTGTCCAGGCCTTGGCTGGCCTAAAAGGAGACCTCTCTGGACGTTACTACAGTCTGACTGAAATGACTGATGCTGAGCAGCAACAACTTATTGATGTGAGTTGCTTCCTTTAAGTTCTTTCAGTCATGGAATATTTTTTGGTTCCGGGAACTTCCGACTGGGTCCTTGGTTTGGTTGATAATATGATTGGGTTTGAAGGAGTTGCTTCCACACATCATGATTCTGAACTCTTCATTTCATGCTGCCATGGCTTAGGAGCATTTTCTCTTTGACAAGCCAGTGTCTCCTTTGCTCACTGCAGCTGGGATGGCCAGGGATTGGCCAGATGGTCGTGGGATCTGGTAAGACTAGAGTGAGAGAGAAGAAGCCATGGTAGCACAGCCCTAACAGTCCCCACTCTTCCCCAAGTCTTTTTATAGGTTGCATTTTCCCCTTATTCTGCTCTACTTCTCCAGTTCCATCTACCTTTCATTTTTCTGTAGGACCACTTCCTGTTTGACAAACCTGTGTCCCCCTTGTTGACTTGTGCCTTTATGGCCCGTGACTGGCCAGATGCAAGAGGCATCTGGTATGGCTTTAAGAAGTTCTTAGCATGACTTGATCACCATTTGTGTAGCTAACAAGATAAGTCACATGAGATATATATATATAAAATTCCCAATTTTGCCTGCAAGTAAAGAAGTGTCTTCAGATAAACCAAAGCTTAAATTCAATGTAAGATTAAAATGCATGTCATGGAACACTATTGCAAAATGCTCTTGACTTCATAAAGCATGAATGACTTAATGGCATGACTGACAGTACAGTAAAAATCATCCATGTGCAATACATGGGTCCTAAATGACATTTTGGTTTTGAGCAAGCTCATTCTTGTCTCTTAAACATCCAATCATTTGCAAGGCATAACAATGAGAAGACCTTCTTAATATGGATCAATGAGGAAGACCACACCCGTGTCATCTCCATGGAGAAGGGTGGCAACATGAAAAGGGTGTTTGAGAGGTTCTGCAGAGGACTCAAACAGGTAAAACCACACCACCTTCATACTTGTCCATTAACCAAGCTGCCTGCTCAAGAATGTATCTAGAGCTGTATATTTGAAATCTGTAAAATTGTCCAGTAAGGTTAATCGTCTTACATCGGCTGCTTCTCTGTTGGACAGGTGGAACAATTGATTAAGGAGAGAGGCTGGGAGTTCATGTGGAACGAAAATCTTGGTTACATACTGACTTGCCCATCCAACCTGGGCACTGGCCTCAGGGCTGGCGTACACGTCCGCTTGCCAAAGCTCAGCAAGGTAACAGTAATTACTAGCTTTATCTTATAGATGAAAGGTGGAGTATTGAATGGCGGAAACCTGTCTAATAAACAATTTCCTGTAGGACCCTCGTTTTAACAAGATTCTGGATAACTTGCGGCTTCAGAAGCGTGGCACCGGAGGTGTGGACACAGCTGCGGTTGGTGACACTTTCGACATCTCAAACCTTGACCGCCTGGGCAAATCTGAGGTAGTTCATTCAAGCCAGTGGGCTAACAGAGATTTACATGCATAAGACTCTGGTTTAACTCTACTTTTCTTTACCAGGTGGAACTGGTTCAGATGGTCATCGATGGCGTCAACTACCTTATCGAGTGTGAGAAGAAGCTGGAGAGGGGCCAGGATATCAAGATCCCCGCCCCCATCCAACATTTTAAGAAGTGAGCAACATTCTCCTGATGAAGGTTGGATCCATACAGCAAAGAGAAACATGGACACTCCTTCCACCAATCCCAGAACTTGAAGGTCTTATATGTATAGAAAACTCAATAAAATGAACTCTAAAACTATGGATTCTTTTTAATCTCTTATCTCAACCACTAACATCATGTGCACACAGCAACCAATTGCTAGAACTCTGCTATTACAATCAACAAAGACGATTTACTTGATAGCGGCGTATAGCTTCTTGTCGTGTTGCTTGCTTTGCAGTGTAGACTGACTCTTATATTGCTGCCAGAAGCTTTTTACTCTTAAGTATTTAGCAGCAGGATGTTACTAACTAGGTGAACACAATTGCTCAGCTATCACAGACATGGGTGTATCATAACAACACTGAGCTAAGATTATAGATTGTAAATTGATTGTGATTTCTCAATTTCTCAAATGCGCATACATGTGATTTAGAGAAAGAACTTACATGCACAAGACTCTCTTACAGATGTGAAATCTATAAATCGCAAATGATCTTGAATCTGAGTGCAGCTGAATGGTTTCAGTTCTCCGCCTGCAAGTTCTTGGCAAGTTCCTCCTTCATACATCTGCTTAGACTCTGACATGGTGGTAAACACTTTTTCACATAAAAGACCGTTTTTATAAATCTAAAAATATGACTGGACTGGATTTTAGCGAATGCACACTTTAAAGGGATACTCCAATTTTTTTGGAAATGCGCTCATTTTACAACTTCCCCAGAGTTAAACTGAGTTTTACCTTTTTTGAATCCATTCAGCCGATCTCCGGTTCTGGCGGTACCACTTTTAGCATAGCTTAGCATACATCATTGAAGTGCACAAGACCATTAGCATTTCTCCCTAAAAAATTACCAAAGTGTTTCGATATTTTTCCTGTTTAAAACTTGACTCTTCTGTAGTTACATCATGCACTAAGACAGACGGAAAATGTAAAGTTGAGATTTTCTAGGCTGATATGACTAGGAACTATACTCTCATTCCTGCGTAATAATCAGGAAACTTCACTGTCGTACCATGAGTGCAGCAGGCGCGATGACTACACAAACTTAGTCTTGGTCACGTTGGAAGCTGGGCACTATTTTCAGGCGCTGCGTCATAACATCACGCCTGCTGCACTAACTAAAAGTGGTACCGCCAGAACCAAAGATCGGCTGAATGGATTCAAAAAAGGTAAAACTCGACAGTTTAACTCTGGGGGAGTTTTAAAATGAGCGTATTTCTAAAAAGTGGAGTATCCCTTTAAGATTAAATCTTTAACATTGTATAAATAAGGCCCCCAGTGTCCAGGCACGTGCATTACACTGATCAAACCAAGACTCTTTTCTTGAAGATTTCTTAATAAATCTGGGGTCTGACTTAATACAACGTCACCATCGCTAAGTGTAGTTATTCATCTGAGGCACTGATGCAATTAAAAATAATCATATTTATTCCCCTCTATGTATAGACAGTGTTTGTGCAAACATAGTCTTTCGTCATTAGTAAAGTGCTGAAGGATCCATTTTGACAGAACCCTCTTCACATGGTTTAAACTGTAATTAATTTGACACCAGACAGGCAGACACTGGCCTCTTGTTAGACTAATCCAGTGGGGCTAATTTCTCTACTTAGAGCTGCTTAGTGACGTATCTAGTAATGCTAATCTTGGTTCTATACTTAAGAGAAAAGCGGGTTAGGGGTAAATATGTGTGCGCTTCTACAAAATGGTTTCGCTATGTTGGCTGTGAAACAGAGGGGTAGTTTTACAAGTCCTTTAGTCTTTATGAAACCAAACCCCATATGTAGCCAATGATAATCCTTTTTTTTTTTTAAATTCATCACTGTACTTTGAAACCACTTTTTGTTTGAGCAGGATAATGTTAAACCATATAAAAACCTTGTTATTTGAGAAAATTGTCAATAGGTTCAATTATCTAATGCACCTTATAATATACACCGAAACAAGTAAACTTCTATGAAAATAAATATATTGTAAGGGAATTTGCTCAAATTGACCCGTTTACCTTCAATATTTTAATCCATATTCTCCACAGTGGCTGCGTTCGGAATCGCATACTTCCCTACTATATAGTAGGGGAAAAGAGTAGGCGAGCAAAAAAGTACGTTCGAATCCTCAGTATTCATAAAAGAGTAGGCGAGAATTAAGAATTAGCTGGCTCAGACGCCTCAGTCTGCTTGCCGCCGAATGCGCCCTCCTGCGACTTCCACCCCCTCCCGCCCGGCCCCAGCAGCACCGGGCCGTTCCGTGGAGGTGGTCGCAGGGAGACGCCCCTGCCCGTACCAGCCCTGCAGCCCAGCTGTATGCAAGGCTATGCGGCGCTCCCGTTACGGGCCGCTCAGATATGGCTTGCAGTTCTTTCAGGGAGTGGTTGCAGGCCCACTCCTTCCCTCGGTGGAGGGCTGGGGGAGAATCTTTTCTCCACAGAGCTGCATTCCATCCCTGAGCACACAGAGCAGGACGGCAACGCCCCTGTGCCTCGCCACTCTTGTCCTCTTCTGTCTCTGAGGGTGCGGATGGCAGTTTGCGTCGTCTCCGGACCACACGACTCTCATCCCCCTCTATCGCCAGACCTGCACGCATTCTCCGTTGACGAAGCGTGCCTGGAATTCGGGCCGGCCTACTTTCACGTGATCCTGAGACCCCGGCCTGGATATGTGCCCAAGGTTCTTACCACACCCTTCCGGGACCAGGTGGTGAAACTGCAAGCACTGCCCCTGGAGGGGGCAGACCCAGCCTTGGCACTGCTCTGTCCAGTACGCGCCCTCCGTGCTTACGTAGAACGCGGCGTTTAAGGACCTCAGACCAGCTCTTTGTCTGTTACGGTGGGAGCCAGAAGGGAAGGGCTCTCTCAAAGCAGAGGTTGTCTCACTGGATAGTGGACACCATTGCTTTGGCTTACCAGCAGCAAGGTCGACCGTGCCCCCTTGGTGTGACAGCCCACTCCACTCGGAGTGTGGCTTCCTCTTGGGCTCTAGCGCATGGCGCCTCGCTAGCAGAGATCTGCAGAGCTGCAGGCTGGGCGACACCCAACTCATTCGGTGTCTTCGCTTGCTCGCCATTCCACTCCACGGATTGGATAAGTGCGATTAGTCCTCAGCTGAGCCTTCTATTGAAGCCCTGAGTTCCTCCAGCACTGTTGATGCTGGCGCCAGTGTCTTGCCTGGACGTCGGCTCGGTGCCTCCGTGTGCATGGTTCCTGCTAGTAACCTCCACATGTGTATTTTCCACTGTAAGCCTTTCTGAGCATGTGTCTTCCCTCGGCAAGCCACCTTGCCACCCCTGGAGTTAAAATTCTAGCCACCCTACGGGTTGGTGACTCCAGTGTTCCTCCATATGCAGCCCCCTTGCATATGGGATATGTGTATTCTTTAGTCCTCCCTACGGGCAGGCATACTGTGGCATATTTCCTTTGAGATATGCACCCCAGATATTGAGATATTTATAATGGCATAAATGCTACGTGGGATCTCAATATCTCGGTTCTGGAAGGGTCTAGAGCCTCCATTTTTGCACTCAAGTCTAAGTCTCATGGCCCTCCATCAGAATCCAGAGTTTTGAGAAGATTGGAGAAACTCAAAATTTCGACCAAAAAAAAAAAACGACAGTGGGACCACTTTCGTTTTTTATTTTTTTTCGGGGCGAGAAATTAAGTTTCTCCAATCTTCTCAAAACTCTGGATTGTGATAGAGGGCCATGAGACTTCAACTTGAGTGCAAAAATGGAGGCTCTAGATCCTTTCAGAGCCTAGATATTGAGATCCCACATAGAATTTATGGCATTATAAATATCTCAATATCTCAGCTCTGGAAGGGTCTAGAGCCTCCATTTTTGCACTCAGGTCTAAGTCTCATGGCCCTCTATCAGAATCCAGATTTTCAAGAAGATCAGAGAAAATCAAAATTTCGATCAAAAAAAAAAAAAAAAACGACAGTGGTACCCCTTTCGTTTTTTTTTTCCAGGCAAGAAATTAAGTTTCTCCAATCTTCTCAAAACTCTAGATTCTGATAAAGGGCCATGATACTTGAAATATGTGAAAGTATGTATAGGCCAAACCAGATGTTATCAGAATCCCGATATTGACACGGATCCATCACAACATGTCTTCATATTAGGGACTGAAGTGAGTGTTGGCAGTCAGGTGCTGGAGGAGTGGAGGAACGGATAAGAAGAGGACCCAATCAGCGCCAACACGCACTCATCCACATAAACACTGCTGGGCCAACATGACATCATGACTTTTGCGTAAACATATACGCCACTTTCGAGTCAGGTGGCGTGTTATCTCCACGCATTTTGTGCTATCCGCGTGTATGCGTATGTCTACGCCATTAACATCCGAGTCATTCCGCGTGTCTGAACACGCAGTCAAATCTCCAGTCATAAATGCCATTAACCCCAGTGACGGTTAGGTTTAGGGACGGGGTTGAGGTAAGTCATATCTTTTTTTTACCTAGGATGGTAAGGGAACAGTCATAAATGCCATTAACCCCAGTGACGGTTAGGTTTAGGGACGGGGTTGAGGTAAGTCATATATTTATATAACGTTAAGTCAACGGCGTTCATAAACACGCTGAAAGGCGATTATGCGTCTTGATAGCACGCCAAAAATGGAAATACGAATTAGCGTGTCATACACACGCTACTTCATGAGATCAGTCTGGCTGGGCTTATTACACACAGCACTGATCTGGCACTGCACTACTGTGTACTGGACCAGACAGCAGGTGCACACGCACAAAACACACACACACACACACACACACACACACCACAGTCAGTGTGTGAATCTTGGAAATATAAAGACTTAGACCTGAGTGCAAAAATGGAGCCTCTAGACCCTTCCAGAGCTGAGATATTGAGATATTTATAATGGCATAAATGCGACGTGGGATCTCAATATATCGGCTCTGGAAGGGTCTAGAGCCTCAGTTTTTGCACTCAGGTCTAAGTCTCATGGCTCTCTATCAGAATCCAGAGTTTCAAGAAGATCAGAGAAACAAAAAATTTGGACCAAAAAAAAAACGACAGTGGTACCCCTTTTTTTTTTCGGGGTGAGAAATTAAGTTTCTCCAATCTTCTCAAAACTCTGGATTCT